AAATTCCTAATTGCTTATATAGCAAAACGAATTCGAATGGTTTATGGCTCATGCATTGCTCTGCTCATACTGATTGAGTGATATGTTTATGCTATAGAGTCCTGTTCGAGCCGCAGAAAAAAATTCGCTCGGCATTAAGTCTCCGTAAAAATAACAAGTGAAAGTAGCTATTCGGTAATGTATATATATGCCCGTTAAAAATCACTTTGGTTTAGTTTATCGCTAATCTTCTTTGAAAATCATTATTGTGCGTTCGTCGATGACTGAACGTGCACACTGATGCTTAGCTCGTTCGACAAGATATGAAACGAGTCTATAATTGAAATTCTTCGCTAAAATTTCTGCTTTTGTCAGCTGAGCGTTTGGAGAAAGACAATGAATACGTTTTCGCAAAGAATCTTGATTGATTTATGAACATGACTGCAAAACACGCGAATTGTAATTGGTTTAACGGCAATTATTTTAAGAATAAGCTTTTGGTTCCTTTAAAAAAGCGAAAGATTTATGGAGCGTTTGGTAGTCCTATTCCTGTGAAATCTGTTCGCGTGCTTGAAACTGATCAGACAGACGAATAGCGTCTCTGAAGCAATAAATGCAATGGATAATTAGGTTCTGAGTGGCTTCGATAATTTCGTTGTGAATGAATGCACTTACAGTTCATAAATAATAATGTCTTACTGAATTTATTGGAAACAAAATTACAGAGAATGTTGAAATGTTGTCTAATTCAATTCTAAGAATTGCGTTCGTGTTGTTTCATAATTAGTCTTGTGCACTGCACAGGCAATATCCAGCCATAAATTTTCCGTAAAAAATCATTGGTATTGCGATTGGAAATCCCAAGAACGTCCATAGAAAGCAAAAGCCAAAAAAACAGAAACATTATTCTCATCTATATATGCAACAGCTTGAAATACGATCGATGCAAACCAAAAAAAAAATGCTAATCAAAGAAATGATAAACAAGAAAATTGTCTATGCTTAAAAGTCATGTCTAGAGGAGGAAAGCGTTAAGGAAGAATATCGCTGAAAATTTATATCGAAACAATGAGCTGTCAAGATTTTGGATTTGGATAGAAAATGAAGATGCAAACTGTTGTGAACTTTGAGTGTATTGATAGCATTGAGAATATAATCGATGCGTCTGTTACGCTAGTTCACTGCGTGCATTTCAATGATGCTTGTAGAGGATCAATCATAGCATTATAGTGCTTTGGAAATTTCGGCGCATAAAAAGTAGTGATTTGCAGTGAATACCTGATATGGGTGGATCGACCGCAATATATGTGGACGATGCAAGTCATTGTTGCCGTTATCAGTATCGCACAAACAATCGTCATTTTTTATCTCAGCTATAAAGTAATTTAATCACATTATGTTCATTTCATTCAAACACTATCAGTTCAAACGTGACGATAGCAAACACGATATTCGCAAGAAAAATCAAATTTTATTGGATTTGTAACGGATTTTTATGTTAGGATGCACCCAGCTTGTCATTAAAGCCGAACAAACCCTGCCATCCACTCAATTTCATGCCAACATGCGAACAGACAGAATTTATGTCAGCTGTTGAATGTTTTTTTTTGCTCGTGAAACTTTGATGCAGTAAAGTGCGAACATGTTGACGAGCGCCGTCATTTAATTTATCGCACCAAATTTTTTCCTTTCGCAGCACATTCCATTTCCTTGTGCTTCTAGTTTATTGTTAGAGGCGAATCACCGGAAACGCACAGAAATCAAGGAGAATGCTGGGAACGGGTCAAATGAATTTGAAAGCTATGGATAAAATTGCGTGAATTCTTGTCGGATAGGTGATGTGAATAAAGCGAATGGTTCAATCGCAGCCATCAATCTATCAACTGATCACACCTTGACAGTGATAACATTGTCAACTTCTCCAGCCAGATCTCATACTGAAATGTTTGCAGCATCCTATATCCTTGAAATCAAATGCGTTTTCCTTGTTGTTCTGGCGACTCGAGCGCATTTCTCGTAGCAAAATTTGGGTTTTAGCATTAATTATCACTGAATCCAATTCCAGTACAACGGAGGCATGCGCGCATATTGCATGTGGAATCGCTTGATTGCGTTGTGCGAATGAGTTGAATCTATTTCATGAGCAGTGCAGTAGTTCATTGAATGGAAAGATATCATTATGTGCGAGAAAATGACAGCTGAGAGTATCTTCGTTTCAGGGAAGTATATTCAGATTGCTCTTGAATATCTCTTTCTTACTCGAACTGGTCACCAGTACGCCACTCATCGTAACTGTAAGTTCTGAGTATTTCACAACAATAATATTCCTGCAAGTGTATCCCAAAAAATTTCCTCATTCTGATCACAAGAATATAAATGTTTTGAAGAAGCGTGAGTTTCATGCAATGTTATTTTGGTCAACTTTTGTTATAGTGGTTATCGTTCATTGCCTCTCGTTTGATATTATCCTATTGCTTTCAGTAATGCGTTTAGTCCGCAGTTAATTAGCAAAAACGTAATTGTCAATACCGTATTCTTCTGTTGTCGGAAGATTTTTCACTAAAAAATGAATTTCCAGATTTTCTATCCTCGATGGCGACACGTGTATGTACCAACTTTTCTGAATTGCTGGCTCGCCAAAAGCGCTCTGCAAGCGATTCTCGTGAGTTTTTTTGCAAGTCATAGTTAGTGATCT